CGGACCTCCCCAACCCTTCTTCCTCCTCCATCACCCACGTCCATCCTCCATAGCCGGACCTCCCCAACCCTTCTCCTTCCTCCATCACCCACACCCGTCCGCCATAGCCGACCAGCCCCCAACCCTTCTTCCTCCTTCTTCACCCACGTCCATCCTCCATAGCTGGACCTCCCCAACCCTTCTCCTTCCTCCATCACCCACACCAGTCCACCATAGCCGACCACCCCTTAACCCTTCTTACTCCTCCATCACCCACATCCATCCTCCATAGCCGGACCTCCCCGACCCCTCTCCTTCCGCCATCACCCACACCCGCCCACCATAGCCGATCATCCCCAACCCTTTTTCCTCCTCCATCACCCACGTCCATCCTCCATAGTCGGACCTCCCCGACCCTTCTCCTTCCGCCATCAACCACACCCGTCCACCATAGCCGATCACCCCCAACCCTTCTTCCTCCTCCATCACCCACGTCCATCCTCCATAGCCGGACCTCCCCAACCCCTCTCCTTCCTCCATCACCCACACCCGTCTGCCATAGCCGACCACCTCCGCAACCCTTCTTCCTCCTCCATCACCCACGTCCATCCTCCATAGTCGGACCACCCCCAACCCTTCTTCCTCCTCCATCACCCACGACCATCCTCCATAGTCGGACCTCCCCAACCCTTCTTCCTCCTCCATCACCCACGTCCATCCTCCATAGCCGGACCTCCCCGACCCTTCTCCTTCTGCCATCACCCACACCCGTCCACNCCCCAACCCTTCTTCCTCCTCCATCACCCACGTCCATCCTCCATAGCCGGACCTCCCCGACCCTTCTCCTTCTGCCATCACCCACACCCGTCCACCATAGCCAATCACCCCCAACCCTTCTTCCTCCTCCATCACCCACGTCCATCCTCCATAGCCAGACCTCCCCAACCCTTCTCCTTCCTCCATCACCCACACCCGTCCACCATAGCCGGCCACCCCCAACCCTCCTTCCTCGTCCGTCACCCACACCCATCCTCCATAGCCGACCTCCCGAAGCCTTCTTCCTCCTCCATCACCCATGTCCATCCTCCATAGTCGGACCTCCCCAACCCTTTCCCTTCCTCCATCACCCACACCCGTCCTCCGTAGTCGGACCTCCCCAACCCTTCTCCTTCCTCCATCACCCACACCCGTCCACCATAGCCGGACCCCCCCCAACCCTTCTTCCTCCTCCATCACCCACACCCGTCCACCATAGCCGACCGCCCTCAACCCTCCTTCCTCCTTCATCACCTACGCCCGTCCACCCGAGAGTCCTAAGGGGGGGGGGGAGAGTCGCAAGGGGGACGCATGGGACCTCGGGTAGGATCGGTTGGGGTAAGTCAAGGAGCAAAGTCGATTAGGATGTGAAGTTTCTTGTTCTCTCTCTCTCTCTCTCTCTCTCTCTCTCTCCTCTCCCTCTCCCTCCGTCTGCCTCCATTCCTTCAAACTCCTTTAGCCCTTAACCCTTCCATCACCTCTTCCCCTCCATGGCATGTGACTAACCTCTACCCTCACCTGTTACATTGCCAGGGAACGAACGGGAAGGAACTTGGTCCTCACTTGGTGGAAAGCGAGGGCAAGGGAAGGGCAGCGGTCCCTTGTGCCACCAAGAAGGAAAGGATATGAGGCTATTGGGAACATTTGTGAAAACGAAAAGGAGTGTTGTTCTTGGATGAGGTCAGTTTGACTGAACCATCTCCCCGACTGCATGACTAAGGTGGCTGCATGGTTTGCTTGAGGGAAGGAAGGAGCAAAAACAAGGGATCATGGAAGGGCAAAGGAAACTTAGGCTTGCGGGAAGGGCCGATGTGTTGACCCCAATGGGGATTGTGCTTGGTCATCTGTATTGTGTGGTCTTGCGCAGGTGAGTAGCTAGGGACGATTTGGACGGGGATGGACCCACGGATGAGGACTAGGGTGGGAAATTGGCAAAAGGAAGGGATTTGGATCCGGCTTAAGCTATGGATGCGCGATGTGTTGAGGTCGGCCGCTTGGGTCGATGGTTGATGCATGGACTTGGGTTGTGCGGAGGTTGTATGGAATGTCTCTCTCTCATGTACAATGCGACCCCTGAAAAGACTAAGGGCGGTCTCGGATAGGTGATGCGATGCTAGTGGATCGCGCAAAAAAAATATATATAGTGGCTAGGGGTCCGGGCGACACCGCCTCACCCCAAGGATGCCGCCGGGGCTGTCCCGAGGCACTAGACTTAGTGAAAGGGTGCGTGGCCCAATGGATGACGCTTGGCCTGCGCACGGAAAGAAGACAAACTCTCAACGAACTCCCTGGACTGCTTGAGTATTGGAAAGAGCAATTGCCTGGTCAAACTCAAATGGATCGAGAAAAACGCTGCGATTGACCAAAGAGCTATCATCTTGACGCGAGAGCGGAGCTACATCCCCCAATGTAAAGCCCTCTCGCAAAAGGCCCATCCCCATCCATCTCGTAGCACTAAGTGGGGGTGCCCGTGGGACGAACAACCCGCGCCCTGAGCGTGAGTGTGGGCGGGTCGAGCCAAGTGGGAACTGCAGTGGGGTCGACCGAGGCTCGAAAGTCCTTCAGGGTACGGCCCCTACACCGCTTGCCTCCACTGCATCCTGGCTCTTCTCCTAATCATTCTCTCTTTCTCAGCCTTAATCTCTCCAAACACCTGCTGTAGCCGTGCCTCGCGATCAGCAGCTTGCTGTGTGGCGACCTCCTCGGGAGTCATCACTAATGGCTGGCTTGCCATAACGCCAGTGGACTGACTCTGGGTCTGCGCGACCGTTAACCCTACAGACCCTGTACTACCAGCATGAGAAGTCTGCTGCGCAGAAGTGGCCATGGCTTTCGAAGCTGCGGCTTCGCTTACGAGCGCCCTGCTAGCCTCTGCTGCTCTAGCTCTCCTCTGCTGCTGCTGTCTCTCCTTACGCTGGCGCAATAGATATATGTCGCTCTCTGGTCCTAAAGCCAAGTGGGCAATCGGTCGTCTAGCCGATCGCAAGAGCTGGTCGTCCGGTTGTGGAATCTCCCTGTCGCTCATAAGCTACAGAGACTAAACATTCGAGTTCAGCAGGTAAGCCCAGATTCCTACAAATGATACAATTCTACTTTGACTAGTTACAGAAAGCACAATGAACAGAGGACAGTTCTAAACTATGCTGTCTGTCAGATGTCAATGGCAGTACATCTAACTAATCAAAATAAAAATAACATCATTTGTTGGGTCTGTTTGCAGCATGGGATCTTACTTAAACTTATCACCTGGAATCTACCCCTTCCCCAATTCCCCTTGATTGTCACTTGATGTCAACGTCCCTGAGCAATCCGGTTTGGCGTGCGTGACTAAAGGTGCGCACATAGGCCACCCTTGTGCCCCGAGTAGCTGCTGAGCTGGCCAGCCCTGCACTGAGTTTATCCTCACGTGCAGCGAGCCTTACACCAATTGGCTGATCCAGAGGCAATTTAACGACCGCCCCCAAGTGTCGTCAGGAATAGGCAGAAGACAAGCGCCAGATTAGCGCAACGTACCACAGCTCCGATACCAAATTGCAAGGAAGATGAGTGATAGCGAACTTCATAAATTAAACAGCATCGTACACACAAGACCAGATAGTCGTGACCTCGAACCAACAGTAGAATTGCATCACGAGTTTCACCAAATAAGAACACACCAAGAGCTCATAATTGACAATGCTGGTAAAGTCTCATCATCATCATCAATGAAGAACCAATGTTGATATCCTATCTGGCGCTCGGCGCCCAGGCTACAGATGGCAGATCCTATCTAGCCTACTTTACAATGCCGTCGGATGACGTCAACAGCTTCACTGAAGTGCGAGCAGATCTCGGACAATGTCGTCGCTTCTAGCAACAGGTATGTCTCTCGTATCACTCACAACCCCATTCCCCAACTCACAGATGCCACTTGCACCCAAGGACCACCCTGTGCCACACCCAACTCACAGCAGCGCAGCTCGGCTATGGCTGTCTGCTCCTTCCAGCTCGCCCGTGAGCGCGTGAGCGCTGGCCAGCTTCAACGCAGCAGCGCTTGAGCATCATGCAGCCAGCACCCGAACGCCCAAAGCATGGGCTGGCTTTGCCTCGCAATTACAACTACAATCAGACTCGACTTATTCACACTTTTCATGCACGTGAACAATAGCACAACAACTGGCGACATGCGCCCACACAGTACACAGAGATATGGCTTCCAGGTAAGCTCACTTCCACTGACTATGGCGACCGAGCGCCCAACATCCACTGTTCACACCCTGGATCACCCTGGATATCCCACACTCGACACTCTGCGCACTTACATCACGCACCCACACACACTACTATAGCTATGGCAACGCTAGCTGCCACTACCCTGCTACCACTACCCTAGCGCTATTCTACACTTCTCTGCCCACTTCGACTTCGAGCACACTGCAGACCTCCTCGCACAAGACGCTGAGGCAGCGCTTCCGCATGGCTTCTGCAGGAATGAATGAATGGTCGGGCCTGTACTTCTGTGCCTTGTTGGTCTGCCCTGCTTCCCTGGCCCACGGTGCACACAGTCCCAGACGGTACTTGTTTGACTGGACTGGGACTGTTGACTCTGCGTGGTGGTCTTCCACCACTTGCCCACTGGCCTCTACCTAAACTGGGGCTGACTCCGAAAGGCCACTTCTAGAACCCTCTACTTTGGCCTTTTGGTACTATAGCAGCTATGACTCTTCCCTTTCAGGTAAGTAGCAGCTACGACTTTGACCCTTCGGACAGTCTACAGCTAAGACCTCTAGACTGCCTAGACTCCTATCCGACAGGTGTACAGTTCGAATCCCTTCTACCCTGTAACCTACGAGATCTTACCTACCACTGGCGGTCCTACAGGTCGCAGGTTCAAATCTACGGGTTGACACAGTTACCGTACACAGGTAAGGTGGGGAACTAGGGCTCGAGCCCTGGGATCTGCATCAGCTACTGTGAAGTGGTGAATACCGTTTCACTCCCGCCGGCCTAAATTCGAGGTCCTCCGAGAAAATTTCAGTCCAAGGCAGGACCTTTACCTTTCTGTTGCCTCTCGTAGGCCCGGACTATATCGGGAGCTGTCTCTAGAAGTTCAGATCTCGTGAACCAGCGGTTGTCTTCCGACTCTTGATAAGAAAAATGAACATTGTACTGTTTTTGTGGACGACCTCTACCTCCAGTCCTGAATACATCTTCAACCACTATGCCATCGATGTCATACCTTCCATCCATATCTGGTGGAATCATAGACCTACGGGATGGAAACTGATCACTTGTTTGACAAGGTAACAACTTTGATGCATGAAAAACTGGGTGTGGGGGTGTGCTGGGATCTCTATGGTATAGGACGGTCCATCTTCGCCGCCCTCAACTTCCAGAACCGGCCACTGTCCTCTATACGTAGGCAGTAACTTCTGCGAAATGTTCTCTTCAGGCGCAAACTCTTTAGACTGGACCCAGACAAAGTTGCCTACTTGAAATTGTGAAGGGCGACGGTGCTTGTTGGCCTGTTCGATCATGCGGTGCTGGGCCTTCCTAAGATTTTCAACAACAGTTGCTATCTCCCTCTTGTGCTGAATTGCAAACTCCCTTGTACCGGGCGGTAGCCTCTGAATCTGATCCCGGTTAAGTCCCTCAAATGGTCTCTGTGGTCTAAAGGACTTATGGAGCTCGTTGGGAATGCGGCAAGTTGACAGGTGCAGGCTGTTGTTGTATGCGCTGGCTACCTTGGGAAGCATCTCATCCCAATTGACTTGATCAGGTCTAATGTACATGCGCAGGACTTGCTGCAGGATCTTGTTCATCTGTTCAGTCTGACCGTTCGTCTCTGGATGACGGCCAGATGACATCAATAACTTGGATCCGTAGACGCGCATCAATTCCTGCCAGCTTAGACTTATGAACCGGGTATCTGTATCGCTAACTATAGACAACGGAACCCCGTGTTCACTGACCCAGTGATCAAAGAACTTCTGAATTACTAATTCTGTTCTGGCTTCTGACGGCAAGGGAGCAAAAATAACATACTTACTAAATCGGTCTACCACGACCATAACTTGGCTCTTGCCATGCCTACTTTTAACGTCGGTGTCCATGCAATCAATGGACACTGAATCTCCCGGCTGTTCAGGGATAGGTAAGGGTCTGAGGAGACCTAGAGGGGCACGCGTAGTTGACTTATTCCTCTGGCAGACTTTGCAACTGCGAACATACTCTATGCAGTCGCTTTTCATTCCTGGCCAGGTGTACGCGTGCATCAGATAGGCTAAAGTCTTCTGCCAACCAAAGTGTCCCTCGATGTCGTGACATTCCCCCAAGATCAGACTCCGGATCTCCTCACTGTTGGGGACGCACAAATGGTCTACTACGTTAGTCTTCTCAAACAACAACCCATCAGTAGTGCGGTAATATGGCTCGGACTCTGGGGCTTCCTCAACTCTCTTAAGGAGCTCACTATAGATGGAGTCCTGCGCGTATGCCTCTTTTAACTTTCTGTTGTAGGTCTGACCCTATATCTAGATAATGGACTATGGCCCCAAAGTAATCAGCTCTCCTACTCAGAGCATCCGCGACTACGTTATACTTCCCTTTGACCGGCTTGAGCTCAAAGTCATATTGATCTAATTTCTGCGGCCTACCTAGTAAGCTTAGGTGTCATTTTGGCCTGCGTCTTTAACCATCGCAATGTCACGTGGTCAGAATAGACTTTGAAGTGCCTCCCAAGCAAGTAATGCTTCCAGTGTTCTAATGCTTGCCTGAGAGCGTAGAGTTCCCTCTCATAGGTAGATGTCGCAACCTTCTCTGAAGGCATCCTAGCGGACATGAACTCTACGGGTCTGTAACCATTGCCATCGTCTTGCTGCAATACTGCACCGATGCCGTACTGGCTAGCATCCGTAGTGACGACAAAGGGCAAGGACGGATCGGCTACCTTAAGGATTTGATATTCTATTAGTGCCTGCTTCAACTTATTCATAGCAGATGTGCAGACCTTATCCCACTTCCAAATGGTTTCCTTTCTCAGCAATCTGCAAAGGGGCGCAGCGATAGTGGAGAAGTTCCTCACGAACTTCCTATAGTAGTTTGCTAAGCCCAAGAACGACCGCAACTCTGTCAACGTACGTGGCGTGGGCCAATCTCTAATCGCTGCGATTTTACAATCTTCTGGCTTAACGCCGTCTCCTTCTAAGACGTGGCCTAGATATAAGACTTCGGTCTTCGCCCAATCGCACTTCTTTGCATTGATCTTGAAGTTAGCTTCCCTAAGCTTCTCCAGGACCTGCCTGAGATGACCCTGATGTTCTTGGAGGGTCTTACTAAACACTAGGATATCATCTAAATAGACAACCACAAATCTATCTAACCATGGCCTAAACAAATCGTTCATACAACGCTGGAACGTAGCTGGCGCACTGGTTAGTCCAAAGGGCATCACTATAAACACATAGTGCCCATATCTGGTCCGGAATGTTGTCTTATACTGATCATCCGGATATACCTCTATCTGATGATATCCGGACTTCTAATCTATTAGAGAAGTACTTGGCCCCCTGCACTCTATCCAAAAGATCATCTATCATAGGCAGTGGCTCAACATTTTTCACTGTAACAACATTCAGACCCCTATAGTCTATACACATCCTCAACTCTCCCTCTTTCTTGGGGACAAAAAGAACAGGCGCTCCAAAAGGAGACGAACTGGGCCTAATCCAACCCTTCTCAAGGAGCTCATCCAATTGCTTACGAAACTCCTCTAACTCCCGCGGGGACATCCTATACGGCTCCTTTGGGAGTTCTACTGCCAGGCTCAATCTCAATGCGGTACTACCCCTGTCGGCGGCTCAGCCAGGTCCTTGAACTCCTCCAGCAGCTTGGTGATCGTAGGGTCTATAGGCTGCTCTTCCCTAGGCTCAGTTACTGGCCTTACATAGGCTACAAAAACTTGTTCTTCTAGGTGCTCCTTCTTCACGAGCCTCGCGAATGCAGGTGCACTAAGGCAGCAATGTGCCAGGGGGTTCTCTACTCCGGACACATGGAACAGGCGGGGCAGTCTTAGCCTCGCCTGAAGGACTAGGGAGCCAACACTCGTGCTCCTTTAAACGGAGTGTGGCCCCGGCTGCCTCTCCCCAATCCATCCCCAGGACAATATCAAATGGGAGGCTGTCTTCTACAAGGAGACTCAGGAGTGGAGGACCTTCTCCACTTTCCCATCTTTCTCTAAGCGGAAATACGCCTGGACTCCCTCTACATAATTCTCTACAACCATCGTACGGTTGTCTGCGAGGATACTGACTATAGGGTCTGCTAGCTTTTGGACTTTATGTCCCAGCTTCAACTTCTGCAGCGCTTTTCTACTAATATAGCTGCGGGTAGCCCCTGAATCTACTAGAGCCCCTACTCTACTTCTAAAAATATCTACATCTACCAGTATTAGCTGTCCTTTCTGTTCTTTCTTCATCTTGGCCCAGGCGGGCATCCTCTCCTTCAATTCTTCGGCCACGCCTGTAAGGGAGGTGTTTAGAGAGACTCTAACACAAGCAGTCTCCGGACAACTGTCTAGACACCGGCCTGCAACCTCTGCCATAGGCACATGTGGTGTGGGAGTCTCCTGCCGGCTAGCGCTATGTTCCCCACATGGCCTAATGGTAGGGGCAGTTGCTACCCCTACCGGCGGCTGCCTTTTGGCCCTTGAGCAGCCGTGCGGGTCTCTCTATACTTGGGACAGTATTTAATGATATGGTCCGGGTCACCGCAGAAAATGCACTGGCCCCGGTCCAAACGTTGTTGCCATAAGCTCTGGTCCAGACCCAAACTTTCCCAAGGCCTATCCTGAGGTAGCGCTGGGTGCCATCCTCCTACCCTATAGGGAGACCTATTCCGAGGACGGTTTTGCGGGGAACCTTGACCCCTTCCTCCCGCTTGGCGGTTTTCTCCTCTGCCGCCAACCCCCTGATCGCCCTGAAACCGGCTCCCTGAGGCCCGGCCCCCTTGGCCCTGGCCTCGTCCTCCTCCTTGCGGCCTCCCTCCAGCCGCGGCAGCAGCGTAAGTCCTCCCCTGGCTCACACCGCTGTCCTCCTCCTCTAACCCCCACTCAATCTGCTCGTAGGGGATCTCGTCCACACTACCTTCATCTAAGGTCAGGACAAGGTTGTCCTTGGTCTTTACCTGCCCTGAGATAGTGCGGCCTTTCCATTGCTTTCCCTTATCTAAGTCTTTGAGCCGGAAAGTAGACACTGACGCAGACTTAGCTTCAAAAGCCACCACTTCACGACTAAGGGAATCATACGTAGTGGTGGGATCTTCGCTTTTCGCGAAGAAATGCCCTAGAAAGTGCGGCCTTTCCATTGCTTTCCCAATAGAAGAGGCCGACCAATTGGGTCGCTCTGACCCCATGGTCAGGAACAGCCACTAGCTCATCCATCACACCCTTATGTGCTCTGACACTCTTCCATTTGCGAGAACGGATTGTCTGCAGCCTATCTGAGGCTCTGACACTGCGAGCGACATCAGCGAATCGCTCGCACAGCAATTTCAAACTCAGTGAGGGCAGTGAATGACGAATAGGCAACTGCATCATCATTGTAGTTGGCGCCGCGAACTAGGGACCTTGCAAAGCTGGCAGCTTCATCTCTAAGCGCNTTGCAAAGCTGGCAGCTTCATCTCTAAGCGCATGGATCGCAATCAAGACGTGCTGATCCGGGGAGACCTGTTGTAGATGCACATAGGTCTTGACATTGGCCTCCCAGTTGTCAAAGTTTTCTTCCCTTTTTCCACTGTAGGAATCAGGGAACTTGACTTTGACCGGCTCCTTACGAGGACGTGGCTCTTCCTCCTTGGGAGCTGCCACCTTGACGCCTTCAATGGCGCCGACACAGAAACACTCAGTCTTCTCGAGGCGATGATTCACCTCGGCTCCTACAGCGCCTACCAGTTCGCGGGCAAAGTCCCGAAATCCCAACCGCATCGAACGCACAGCTATATCCCGACTTCGGCTAAACTCGTATTGTTGTTCTTGCACTCTAGATAAACGCTCGATGCTCTGGGCGATGATCTGTACCTTTTGTTGGAGGTCTACCTGAGGGGTCAATTGTGTAGTTAAGGTCCGTACCTCCGCTAATTCCTGCATTGCGGCACTCGCCGCCTCCACTCTTCTCTTCTTCTCCCTCATCATTGCGAGTTTCCACTCCATCCTCGTTTCATCTTCCATCGCCTGCCGCTTCAGAACATCTTCTTCTGCCTCCCATTTCTTCATAGCGGCCTCTTGCTCATTCTTGGGGATGTACATAGTTACCTCTTATTCTTCGCCCAGGGATAAGTTGGCGACCCACTCCGAAATCCGTTTCTCCATCTCTTCATCCTTGCTGCCACTGTGCTGCCCTCTCTTCCTTTGCAGTGGCGTCTCGTCTTCTTCTTCTTCTTCCTCTTCCACCTCCTTCAACTTCTCCTCTTCTTCCTTCTTCAACCTCTCTTTTTCTCTGGCCATCTCCTCCTCTATCTTTTTCAACTTTGCCGCCGTCTCCTCCTGGAGGGCCTTCTTCTTGGCCTCCTTCTTCTCCCTTCTCTCTTTCAGGATGGCGGCGGCCTTGGCCTCTTCTTCAGGTGAATAGGGGTGTGTGGTCGTGCCACCCTTCGTCTCTACCCTACACGCGAAGGTGTTCCAAAATCCCAGCGGGAACATGAAACGCCAAAGGGTCCCCCAGAGGGAGAACCCGACAAGTAACCCATACATCGGATAGTCATCCATGGTGGTGTCAGTTGCACGACAAGGAGTCCCACTCCTCACCACTTAGACCTACCCGGACACTGACCCACTGACCGACTCTCTAAAGACCACAGGGTAGAACCCTGTCAACTATGGTCACTAATCTAGACCTACTCTAAGGCTGTCACTACTGAACCAACAGCTGATCTGGAGGCATTTAAGGAGATCCCCCAAACTCCGCAAGAATTCTTTAACGTCGCAGTCAGGATGACGTGATCAGCGTGGTTCTGCCTGTGCTTTCAACCCACAACTCAGCCTTTCCGGCCTAAAGTGCCACACCGAGCAGCCCGCCGGTCTGTACCGGTCCTTGGGAGGGTTATGCCCCCCTGGAAAGTTGGATCAGCCACAGCCTCAGCCCTACAAGGTCAGACTAAGGTTTCGACATCCAGACCTATCCTCCATGCACAGTCCTATCACCTAGGACAGAAGAGACTCGATTGTTATGACCCTGACCAATTTCGAGATACACATCCACTGGAAAGTACAATGCCATCCAATTGCAGAAAGAAATGAATGAACTTGAGAGATCAGGGAGGAGTAGAAGAAGAAGAAGAAGTAAGAAAGAAGAAGAAGAAGATGTACACCAACAAAAACAATGACAAGGCTCTTCTTCTTCACCCAACAGTCTCCTCCTCCTTATCTCCCCCTTCTCTTATTCATACAAGAAATAATAATACAATGTTGAATGACTGGTCCAGAATCATGTCCGAGTCCCTTTTCTACTGCAGGTATCACTCAAGGTCCACCATAGCCATGGCTATCTCCCCTACTCTTCATACACAACGGTCGAGGCTATGGCGGACTACTAGTGGAAAGCACATGCACAATGGAGAAGAGTTCAACAAAGTAAAGATCCGGAACATGAACTTGACAATGAGATCAGACTAGCGGAAAGCACATGCACAAAGGGAAGAGATCAACTAAACAAAGATCCGGAACATGAACTTGACAATGAGACTAGACTAGCGGAAAGCACATGCACAAAGGGAAGAGATCAACTAAACAAAGATCCGGAACATGAACTTGACAATGAGACTAGACTAGTGGAAGGCACATGCACAAAGGACAAGAGATCAACAGGGTAAAGATCCGGAATATGAACTTGACAATGTGAGACTAGACTAGTGGAAGCACATGCACAAAGGAGAAGATCATTCGGAACATTATACAAAGTATGAACAAGACAAGAGATGCTAGACTAGATGAAAAACACTTGCACATAGGGAAAGATCATCCGGAACATTACACTAAGTACGAACAAGACAAGTAGATGCTAGACTAGATGGAAAGCACATGAACATAGGGGAAGATCATCCGGAACATTACACTAAAAGTATGAACAAGACGAGGAGGTGCTAGACTAGATGGAAAGCACATGCACATAGGGGAAGATCATCCGGAGCATTAAACCAAGTATGAACAAGACAAGAGATGCTAGACTAGATGGAAAGCACATGCACATAGAGGGGAGGTTATCCGGTACATCACACCAAGTAGGAACATGACAAATAGATGCTAGAGCTAGATGGAAAGCACATGCACATAGAGGGGAGATCATCCGGTACATCACACCAAGTAGGAACATGACAAAGAGATGCTAGACTAATGGAAAAGCATAAGCATTGAAGGGAAGATCAACCGGAACATCACACCAAGCATGAACATGGCAATGAGTGATTAGACTTAGATGGAAAGCACTTGCATATGATGGGAAGATCAACCGGAACATCACACTAAGTGTGAACAAGACGAAGAGTGATTAGACTAATGAAAGGCACATGCATGTGAAGGGAAGATCAACCGGATCATCACACTAAGTATGAGCAAAACAAAGAGATGCTAGACTAGATGGAAAACACTTACATATAGGGGGAAGATCAACCGGAACATTACACTAAGTAGGAACATGACAAAGAGATGCTAGACTAAATGGAAAGCACATGCACATTGAGGGGAGATCATTCGGTACATCACACCAAGTAGGAACATGACAAAGAGATGCTAGACTAATGGAAAAGCACATACATTGAAGGGAATTGGAAAGCACATGCTCATAGGGGGAAGATCAACCGGAACATTACACTAAGTATGACCAACACATGGAGATGCTAGACTACATGGAAAGCACATGCACATAGGGTTAAGATCAACCGGAACACTACACAAAGTATGAGCAAGACAAGAGATGGTAGACTAGATGGAAAGCACATGCACATAGGAGGCAGATCAACCGGAACATTATACCAAGTATGAACAAGACAAGAGATGCTAGACTAGAAGGAAAGCGCATGCACATAGGGGAAAGATCAACCGGAACATTATACCAAGTATGAACTAGATAAGAGATGCTAGACTAGATGGAAAGCGCATGCACATAGGGGGAAGATCAACCGGAACAACACATGCTATTACATAAGTGAAAACAAGAGTCTAAGTAGGCAAGATCACCAAAGTTGAATCAAAAGTCATCTATGAAAGAAGCGCTATACTACCTACTTGTGTGAGTGTGAAAAACACAAATTTGAAGCTCCCAAATCATCAAGATTGCATCAAGCAACACCCATGTGTGAAGCCCTATACTACCTATTAGTGTGAGTGTGAAAATCACAAGTTTGAAGCTCCCAAATCATCAAGATTGCATCAAGAAGCATCCGTGTGTGAAGCGNNNNACTACCTACTAGTGTGAGTGTGAAAATCACAAGTTTGGAGAGCCCAAATCATCAAGATTGCATCAAGAAGCATCTAGGAAAGAGTCGGAGTACTACCTCCTAGTGCATAAGTGAAAGAGAAGAGTTTGAGTAGCCCATGAAAGAGAGAAGGTGAAGTAAGAGAAGATGGAGGAGAAGGGGGAGAGAGATGAGGAAGATGGGGATGGAGAAGAAGGGGAGGAAGGGAAAGAGAATGAAAGTTAGGAGGAGGAAGGAGGAGATGAAGAGGGGAGAGAAGAGAAGGAAGAAGGAGGCAGTGAGGAGGAAGAAGAGGAAGCAGAAACAGGAGAGGAAGAAGAAGAAGAAGAAGAAGAAGAAGATGAGGGTGAAGAAGCCTCTTCCTTCCTCTCACCTTATTGTTTCCTTGGTGTTGGTGTCCTCTTGATGAAGCTTCATTTTTTTGCACAATCCTCTCTTGGCTATGGCTTCCTTCTTCTCCAAGCCCTTCTCTCCTCCCCCCCTTGCTTTCTCTCAGGCTATGGCAAGCTCTCCCAACTATGGCTGTGGAGTCCTCCCCTCTAGGAGGGCTAATGGGGCTCCTCTAGCCTCTCCTTCTCTCCTACACCCAGGAGGGATATGGCGGATCWCCTCCCAAGTGTCTCTCCCACCATCACTATCCTCTAGAGTCCTCCCCACTACCTCCTAGYCTCCTCTAAGCTCTCCCACTAGCATGGGTTCCTCCCCTCTCACTCCAAGTGCAAAGGTGCTCCTGTGAGCTCACTTGGGCAGCATGGGCATTCATCATGCAAATGTGAGAGTGACGGGCTGCATCCTCAGCTTATGTAGGCTGAAACCAGCAGTCCGGTCAGCCCATGAACCTCCCCATGAACCTCCCCATAAGCCTTGAGGTGAACCGAGGTACCCCCAAGGCAAAATTCCCTCACTAGGCCCTCTTGGAGGTACCTGGGCCTCATTTTGGCCAAGTGCATGCAGTTCAAGTGGTTGGGACCAACTCGGACTACCTCTTGGCCTACCCCGGCCTCTTTTTCATTGCTCAAATGCTGCCCCCTATGGTCCTAATGCCCAAGGGGCAGCAATACTTGAAAGAAAAAGGCCTTGTGGGCCTTTTTTTGGATTTTTTCAAGTTTCGGCCTCTTTTGAGTAGGCCGGAGCATTTTTCTATATGGCGGCACATTTTCAGCCTTGGATCTGGCTGAGATCCAAGGCCAGCAATAATTCGAGCTACCCCCTAGTAGCCCTTTCTTCAATTTTGAGCCCCTAAATCCAGTTTTTCAATTTTTGGTGCATCTGGCTTTCTTTTTGGGCCAAATGCAATGTTTTGTCCTTTTCCCTCTTTTGTTTCTTTCCATTTTGGGCTGCGACCTCATTCCAGAGCTAGCCGTTTTGAGCTGGCCCACAAAAAACGGCTAGTTCCTCTCTACCATGAGATCTGATCTCAGATCCATGACCCAAAAGAAAACCGACCACTTCCTTTCTGCATTTTCTCTCATTTTCAGCTTTTTAATTCAGATTTTATTGAGATATGGCCCTAAGGGCCATATCTCGGCAATCCGGATTGCCCTCCCTCATTCTAGGAGGGATGAGGTCATTGTTGGGACCTGCCAGTTCCTACTGTGTAGGTCCCTATAGGTCGGCACACGCTCCTCCACTCTTTTCTCCCCTTTTGTTTCATTCTCCCTCCTTTTTCTCTCATTTTTCTTTCTTTTTCTTTTATTTCTGTTGTGACAAGTGTCAAACTGCTGTGCATCCTCTTTCTAGGCCCTAGGGCCTCATTCAAAGCGAGGTTCATGGTTGTTACATGGCCGTTATATCTCGGATTCCAATAATGGCACCCCCATGCTCCTAGGGGGTTTCATTTTGCTCCCGTTTGCCCAATTCTGAGCCCCTTTTGCTCCGATTTTCTAAGGGCAGCCTTTTTCTCATGTTGGGCCTCTCAAGGCTCTCTTTTCTTATGCCTTGCTAGTCCGAGATATCCCGGACTACTGGGCAGCCTTCCCAACACCCTTATTCCACTTTTCTTTCTCCCATGGCTTCCTCACTTGCTCCCACTAATGCTTGCATTATTGGTGCTAATATTTTCCATCGTCTAGATTCTTGATCTCGACGGTGCCGCTCGCTTGCACAATTATTCCTTGTTTTTGCTCATGGTTCCCTTGGGACATCCCAAGTCCCCGCCATTTTCCTACATGCTAGCTCCATTTCCTTGTCCCGCCGGTGCGTGTCCCGTTTTTCCAATTTTTATTATTTGGACCCATTTGGTCCCCGACAACATTCCGGACGGCGTCCCATTTTTATTTTTGGGCCCCCTTACCCTTGGTGGTCCCATCATCTCTACATGTGTGCTGATTTTTCTAGGCCGTGAGATCTCATCTCACGGTTGCCGTTTACCGTCTTTACTTGCCCCTTGCCGAAATTGCTCCTTTCTAGCCTTTCGGGCTTGCCGTAGCCCATTTCCCCTTGGCCTTGGCATCCTCATGCAGTCCGTAATTTCTCGGAATGCAGTCATGGTTGTTTTCCATACCCACAGCCCCACAACTTGCCCCATGTTGAAAGAAAATGATGCGTTGAATTTTCTAGTGCATCCGGGCTCAATATTGGCTCCAGATGCACCTAGAACATGTTTCTCTCTCCCATGCAGTCCATTGGAACTCGGACTGCAATGGGGGTTCAATTCCTTAGCCCCAATGCCCCACAACTAGCCCTTACTCAAAAGAAAAAGAAACGGCCAACTCCCAAGTGCATCCGACCTTGATTTTGGCTCCGGATGCACCTAAAACATGTGTTTCTCCTCATGCATGCATTCCGTTTTATTCCGGTTGCAAGAGGCCTTGATTTTTTTTTATTTTCTCTGCAAAAATCAAAGAAAATCCAAGTCCTTTGTATCCGCCATATTTCATAATGAATCTGGTCACGGACGAATCTCCCCAAGTGACCGTTTTTTACCGTTAAGGCCTTTTTCTCTTTTCTTTTCTTTTCTTTTTCTCGTCCTTTCTTGGACAGTAGGGACCTGCCAGTCCCTACATATGGCAGTCCCTACTGACGACCAACTCACTCACTCCCTCTCACTCTTTTTGTCTTATTCTCCCACATTTTTTTTTATTTTCTCTCTTTTTTTTAGCATGCCAAGTGTCAAGTGGCCGCTAAGGCCCTTTTCTAGCCTTTTCCTCTTAGTTTTGGCCTTCCCTATGCCCAAGGTGGAGTCCGTTATTTCTCGGACTGTAATAATGGCCTTCCCATGCCCATGGGAGCCTCCTTCTACTCCTACATTTCTCCCACAATGGTCCCTCCTACTCCGATTTTCTCCCGGAGGGCTATTTTTCACATGGGGTCTCATTTGACTCTATTTTCTTGAGGGAGGCTGATCCGAGATTTTTCGGATTGCTCCCATGCCTCCCACTTCAGTTTTCTTTACTTTTCCTTTTCCTTTTGGCCTCCCGTTTGTCACCACTAGTACTTGCACTAGTGGTGCTAATATTCTTGGTCGTCAAGATGTCGATCTTGACGGTGCACCTTGCATTTATTATTTTCCCCTCATGCGGTGCCGCCGTTTCTTCTTGGGACATTCACATGTCCCCGCTACTTGTCCCGTTGGTGGTCCCCGACACTTTAGTCCCGTCGATGGTCCCCGACACTTAGTCCCGTTCGGCGGTCCCCGACACAGTCCCGTCGGCGGTCCCCGACACTTAGTCCCGTCGGCGGTCCCCGACACATTTTCCCCCGGACGCCATTATTTTTACTTAGTCCCTCGAGATGTCCCATGCCCCTTGGGCGTCTTGTCGCCCCATAGCGACCCCTCTCCTTAGCCTTTCCTCGCGCCTTGTGCGTGCCGATCTCTTTGGTCGCGGGCCTCCGCTCCGAGGCTCCCATAGGTGGCCCCCACGTTGGACCCTCGTTTCCTGGCTTCCCGCGGCTTCTGGCCGCCCATTCCTCGACTTCCTCATTCCCTTATTGCTGTCGCGCTGCAATTGCTAGTTCAAAGGGCCCTTTGGCCTTAGTCTTACTGGATTTCGATGGCCCTCCCGGCCTCCTGCTATGTTCTATGTGCCCCTGTTCTTGCGCTCGCTTGCTTGCCGCCGCTAGTTCTTTCCTCATGTGGTTCTCTCCTCAGGGCACCATTCCCTTCTGCGGCCTAATCCTTTGTTTTTTCTCTCTCCTGCTTCCTCACTCCAGATTTCTCTGTTGTGCACAAATTGTCCGTATTCAATCTCTCGAGTGATGGGAAGTTATTCGGGACCCACCAGTCCGGACACCAGCCAGAAGATATAGCGGCTTGCTTGCCTCTTGGGCGGTGACTTCCAGCCCGCTGGCCTTCCCAAGCAACCGGTACCTCCTCGTATTTTGGAGGGAACATCATTTTAGACTCCGATATTGCCCCTACACGCCCTAGACTCAGACTGGTACCCGCTAGACCTAGCCTACACTACTGGACTCTAAAAATGCCACTTTTGTCTTCTTCTGCTCGGCCTCCGGTACCTGCATATTTACCCCCCTACTAGGTGCGGTACCGGCCTACCCGCTACTTGAGTGCTTTTTGCTCTGCTGCAACCCTTCAAAGCCACGACCACAGGTAAGTACCGGCCCTGAGGCCCAACGAACGAACAAGTGCCTTGGCGGGCCACACACACGCACACTCATACCAACCAGCACTCAGACAGGCACGGTCACACACGCAAGCGAACCAGCACTCAGACAGACATGCAGTCCAGCAAACTCACACACACATAGACTTAGCAGGCGGGGAACTCAGTAGGGCATTCAGTCTATGAGCAAAACTCAGAAATCAACTGTGTTTCAATCCGTGTTTTGACGGGTTATCACACTACTCCCCCCTCAAGAGCGAGGTCCCTTCGAGCGAGTAACTCATTCTGAGTCCTCGGCAAACGCATCGTAGGCGAGCAAGCCAAAGAGATTCCTTGAATACTCTATTGCAGAGAGCTTTGTTGCGATCTTCGGTATGGCGTTAGCGGCGATCTGTCGCTCATAAGCTTTCACCAACGCGTGGTGCGCTGCGTAGCAGTTCCTGTTTGGACATCCAGTAGAGATCATCTAACGGGTGATACCTGAAATGAACCTGGTACTGTCTGTTTCTCCCTGTACCTACATGTTGTTTGATCCTATCTATCTCATGCCCGCCCTTGATTGCGCGAGGGATCATATCTTCACGATAATCGAATGTCTCGAAATCACGATGGAGATTCAGTTTAGGTGCGTGAAACATGGGATAAGTGCGCAGGTAAGCTGGCACGTCCACAACGTACGAAGGGCCAAAATGATCTTCCCCAATTACATCCAGAACTTCCCAAGGCTCGTAGTAGAGTGGGAGGAGTTTGCGTGAGACTCCCTCCTCTTCTGAGAATTCAGACATCTTTACCCAGACATAACTTCCTACCTGAATCTCCGATGGTTTACGCTTCTTGTCCACATGATGAATCATGGCATGCTGTCGCTTGGTCATAGCTGCAACAACAACTTTGAGCAAGCGATCATACTTATCCCTGAAGCCGGGCCTGCCGGGTGTTAAACCAGCCGGCTGCTCAGGGAACAAGTAGGAGAGCGTATTGCGGATCTGCCACCCGTAGTGCAGCCTGTTGGGCGTCGTGGCCGTGGCAGAGTGTACGGAGTTGTTGTACAACCCCTTGACGGAATACAGCTCCTCATCCCATGTTTCTTGATCAGGAATGATCAAAGCACGGAGTAGTTGGAATACAATGTGATTGATCTCCTCAGCCAAACCGTTGGCTTTGGGGTGTCGGCCAGATGTCATGCACAATTTGATTCCTTGGTGAGACGTGAACTCCTTCCATTCAGCGCTAATGAAACGCGGGTCCCGATCGCTCACAAGAGTCTTCGGGGTTCCGAATTGCAGCAGGTATTTCTGCTGGAATTGGTGAATCACTAGATCTGTTGGGGCGTGAGGCGGTAGAGGGATCAGATAAAGAAACTTTGAAAATCGGTCAACAATCACCATGACTTGTGAAAACCCATTCTTGCTTACCTTACCCATGTCAGTGAAATCGATGGAGACAAACTCCCCGGGACCATCAGGAATGGGTAGGGGTGTGAGTAGCCCCATGGGCTTTTGTCTGCATGGTTTGATTCGTTGACAGACTTGACATTCAACTATAAATTYCTCAGCAGTCCCTTTCATACCAGGCCAATCAAACTGTCTCAGCAAATTAGCGTACGTTTTTGCCATGCCGAAGTGCCCGCTCCGGCCATGAGCCAAGTCCAGAATGTGCGTGCGGAGAGGCTCGTGGTTGGGCACACACAAACGGTCATGGTTCCCGTATCGTCGAAAAATCAGTCCTCCATACTCGTGGAAATCAGGCTGACTACTAGGATCAGCCCGCAATTGCTCAAGGATGGAACTGAGTTCCGGATCCTTGGCTGTCTGCTCTACGAGGTCCTCCTTCAATTTCTTCCGGAGGTCGTAGGATTTCACAAGGCAAGTCATGTACTCAAGGTGGCGAGACAAAGCGTCAACGACTCGATTGTAACAACCCTTTTTATGTCTCAATTCAAAATCAAAGATGTCAATCTCATGAAACCAGCGAAGTTAGGTAGGGGACAGAGTAGTCTGCATTTTGATCCACTTCAAGGTCTCTTGATCTGAGAACACTTTGAAGTGGCGTCCCAAAAGGTAATGTTTCCAGTGATCCAACGCCATGCGCAAAGCGTAGAGCTCGCGCATGTAGGTGGAAGTGGCTACCTTTACGCTGGGCATGCGTTTGCTGTAATATTTGAGTGGCCGCAGGCCATCGCCGTCATCTTGTTGCAGCACCGCGCCGATCCCATACTGATTTGCATCCGTAGTGATTACGAAGGTCAGTTTGGGATCTGCAATGCGGAGTACCGGGTAACTTACCAAGGCTTCCTTGAGAGTCCGAAAAGCTTCCGTACACGCGGCATCCCAGGCATAAGACACATTTTTGCTGGTTAGTCGCGACAATGGACGAGCAATAATGGAGAAACGGGGTACAAACTTCCGATAGTACGATGCGAGTCCAAGAAAAGAACGCAATTCTCGGATGTTCACAGGCTGAGGCCAATCGCGTATGACCTCAATCTTGGTTGCCTCAGGCTCTAGGCCTGCGGCAGACAACCGGTCCCCAAGGTAGATGACGTTATCCTTCCCAAACTCAGATTTCTCCAAGTTTTCTTGAGGACAGCAAGTACCTCCTCAAGATGCTTGAGGTGTTCCTCCATGGACTTGCTGAAAATCAAGATATCGTCCAGGTACACTACCTCGAAACGACCAATCTGTTCGCGGAGGACCTTGTCCATGAGACTTTGGAACGTGGCTGGTGCGTTCGTAAGACCGAAGGGCATTACGGTAAACTCATAGAGCCCGTCGCGCGTTTTGAACGCGGTCTTGTGCTGGTCCGCAGGATCGACTTCAATCTAGTGGTAACCAGACTTGAGGTCGATCTTGGAGAAGACCTTGCACCCGCCTGCAGCGTCAAGCGAGTCATCTATACGAGGCAATGGGTAAGCATTCTTTCTTGTGATGCGGTTTAGACCGCGATAGTCAATACACATGCGGAGTTTGCAGCATCAAGCAAGTCATCTATACGAGGCAATGGGTAAGCATTCTTTCTTGTGATGCGGTTTAGACCGCGATAGTCAATACACATGCGGAGTTTGCCTCCTTTTTTTGGCACAAACAACACAGGAGCACCAAATTCAGATTCGCTTGGTTTGATCCACCCTTTGTCAATTATCTCATCGATCTGCCGCCGGAGTTCCTCCAACTCGCCGGGTCCCATACGGTACACGCAACCCTTTGGAGGTACAGCACCCTCGACCAACTCGATGGTGTGTCGAACCGGTCGCGTGGGGACTCCACGTGGCTTGGCCAAGACTTCCGGAAACCGATCGAGGAGGGCTTGGATGTCTGATGGGACAGGTGGGGGTGGGGAATCAGCAAAGGGATCACCAAAGTCCGGTCGCAAATCGCGTATAGAGACGACCGAATCTGAAGTAGGATCATTCGGACTATTAGAGGATAGAGAGATAGAGGTGCTAGTAGTAGAAGTACCAGAAGTAGATTCATCAATCGAAGTAGTGGTATTAGCCGCAAAAGTAGAAGGCACATGAGCAGGACGAACAAAGGCAACATACAACTGTTCTTCCTCTTTGTGCTTGCGCCACTTCTTGCAGAACTTCAATGCATTTAGAAAAGTCACTGGGGATTCGCGCTTCTAATCCAAGAGGACAGGAAGCTCGTTCCCCTGAGCATCTTTGACCATGAAAAGGGACTCCTTCCACTTGGTCCATTCGCATTGGGACTGTAGCCATCCCAAGCCAAGGACAGCGTCGAAGGGGCACTTGTCAAGGACAAAGAAGTTCAGTGCATGGGTGATAGTCTTACCTTTGTCAAAGGTAGTGCGCACACCTTTGACTTCATGTGTTGAAGAGACAACTTCTTTGTTGCCAACTTGGGTCCGGCAAGGGTTCTGCAGGGCCACTTGCTTCATCCCCAAGCCCACCTTGCGTATCCCATATGGTGACATGAAATTAGTTGTAGCACCACAATCAACTAACACACGGAGATAGCGGTGGTTGATGAGAAGTTTAAAGAAGATTAACTTCACCGTCCCTTGGGCCCGCTGCTGTTTCATTTCAGCCCAATTCTCCAAGTGGTAGTGGAAGTCAATCATCTCAGACTCCTCCCAAGGCTCGTCATACAATATGTTACTTACCGCAACCTTGTCTTCAGCAGATGGTTGGGCTTCAAGGGAGGGCTGCTGATTTTCATCAGATCCTGACTCCCCTGTTGTAAAGTTTGTTGAATGTGACTCTACGCCCGGTTCTGGTTTTCCTGCAGGCGATAACAGTCTTGAACTTTATGATTTGGCTTTTGGCAATGCAGGCAAACCCCCTTCTTGAGTCTGCCCCGCCAGTCATTCTCAGTGATCCGGAGGTCAACCCACGGTTTGCTAGATGCATCCTCCAGTTTAGGCGAGATCTTAACTCCTTTGGGGAGTTGGACATAACTCTTTCCGACACTCCGATTCGGTCCCTTAGTGTTGGCAGTCTTTTTAAAGGCATAAAATTTTTCTTCTTCGTTATTTGCGTCGGACTCATGGGCTGAAGAACAAGCTATATCGGAGTCCTGTTCTTGGTCGTCACCAAGAGTGGGGTCAACCGCATCGGCTTCTCCTTCGGCCTCCAGCAGGTCATGCACAACAAAACGGTTGCTGCCCTTGAACTGTCTGCCGCCCATGGGCTTTTTGCTGGTTGTCGTGCTAACGAGGTCCATGGCCTCCAGACTGACTACATCCTTCATTAAGGCAAGCCAGTCAGTATAGGCAATGTAGTTCCTGCCCACGCGACTAGTGAAGTTAGTTGGAACCGCGCCCTTGACCACATCTAAGCAAGATCGAGTGGACAATTCCAAACCAGGAGTGGCAAACAACTTGCTTAGATAGGTCTGCAGGTTTTTCATGGAACCATTCCACTTGTTGTGCTTTACTTTATCCAGTTGAATCCTCGCTTTAGTAGCAACATGTGGATCTTGGTATTCTGAGATAAGGAGTTCTTCGAGGGAGGCAACCGGGGTGGACCTTAGCCATTTGGCTAGTGCAGACTTTTGAAACCCAGCCCTCGTTGCTTGGACTTCTAGGAAGCCCCGTACGACTGGCTCGACATTCATACCCATGATAATTGTCTGGGTCTCAGCTTGAGTCCCCAAAATCTCAAAGTAGGCCCTCATGGAGCCTATCCAGGACTCGATGTCTTCCTTGCCATCGTACTTGGACGGTGTTTGAACCGCCTTTCGGTCCACATAGGGACTGGCGTGGCTGGGACCAGCAGCAGTTGGTTCCGGCCTTGGGGCTGCAACAATTGCAGAAGTTCCAGCCTCATTGCTTGTTACAACAACAGTGGAATCTGCACCTGCTGCAGGTCCCGAAGGGGTTGCCATCACACTCGAAGAAGAGGTAGAAGAAGATACAGTAAGAGGGGCAGAGGTAGTTTCGATTGCAGCTTCAGCTCCAGGAGGTAGAGGAAGAGGGTTGGCCACTTGGGCTTGTCGCAGATCCGCCACCTCCTTTGTCAGTTCATGGTACTTGAGGGTCATCTCAGTCAGATCATCCTGAAGTGTCTGCAGGTTTGCAAAGACTTCAGCGATCTGAGTGGTATGGTCCTCAAGATTCCTGATTTGAACAAAGGCTGTAAGGATGGACTGCAGCTGTTCCCCGCACTGCTCTTCAGTCAGTGAGGGAACAGTCTCTAGGAGGGCTACTTGCCTTCTCAGCAAGGCCTCCTTCCTCTCCTTCTCTGACTCCTGTTCCCGTTTTATAGCACCATCCAAGAGTGCTTGCAGATGTGGTTTCTCAGCATCATCGACTGCATCTAACAAGGCCCGCCATTGCGTCGAATTTGGCTGGACCATCTTTGGACTGTTAGTGTGGGCAGGTGGATCAGAGAGTCGCCAGACAGCAAAAGAATCAATCAGACTCTCAAGAGGTTCACTCCCCCCCGCGCTTAGACGAACACTCCTTTTTCCAGTCCTTGCCCACCTCAGACTATCACTTTCCCTCTCTCCCTGTTCTCTCTCCCTCCTCTCTCTTTCTTCTTTCTGATTGCGAGTCTCCACGGGCATCAGAAATGAACTCAGAAAAACAGATAAAGCTCAGAGAAAAGAAGGTAGAACTCCTAGCCGGAGCGACATTTCATTTGGAAGTAGAGAACAGCAGAAGAAACAATCAAACTCAAAGAGAGGTCTGATCCAGCGACCCAGTCTGATCAGGCTGCATACGAGGTCCTCTCGAGTCCAGCATGACCAGCTCCGTGTCCGTACAGCAAATCAGACAACGAGTGACCAAATGCAACGATGGAGAATTGAGTGGTGTACATGGTGCGAGTCAAGCCACGGACGGTGCAATCAGAATGCAAGCAAAACGTCAAAGCCAAGATCCCCTTGGCAGTGGGTGTCCTAATCCAAGAAGAATAAACTCATATCCCAGCCAAGAAGACAAGAGGTCAATGCCTAACCGATTTGGGTCCAGAGGCTCTCCTTGTTTGGGCCTGGTTCCGCTGGGTCCCAAGGGTCCCACTTGGTCCCACGTAGGTCTTCAACCAGGTCCCAACCAAGAAGAGTCCCACCTGAACTTAGTTCAGTCTCAATTGCACTGAAAAACGAAATTTCAACTTCTGGCAGAACCTACAAACTACGACCGTTCAGTGATGAAAAGACAAAGCACTGTAGAAAGACTCGGCATGTATAACAAGATACTTCATTTTCCATCCATCAGGTGAGTAGGTAGATCACATGCATCCAGTCACACAATCAAGACCACAGAGTTAGGAAAAGAAACCCAGAGTACCCCAACAGGACAATCAATACCATACACACATACATGGGCATCCCTTAGGTGCACGACACTTACCTGAGTGGCCTTGAGCTTCGAGATGAAGAGAACTCACCCCCCTTCTCATATGGTCCTCCTGACCCATCTAACGCTACCCCTACACTAGTGTCCTATCTCCTAGGAGGGTCTGACTCCAACACCCAAGTGCAACGCCGGATCCCCCGTCGATGCTGAAGAACAAAGTAGCAACTTGCAGTCCGTTGATGCAGAATGGCCGCTGACCCTCAAGCTCGCCTACTTGAGGGCAGCCCTTAAGTTGCCAAGTGTCTCCCTTGAATCAGATTCCAGGTGCGAGTGCCCCTCACTGTCGCCTCTCTCAAATCGCCGCATGAAGTCTCCTCGAAATGTCTCGTCACCCCAATCTTACTCTCAAGCAACCTGGTTAGGGCCTATGTTGACCCCACATGACCTAACCAGGTGGGGGCAGCTTCCCTTAGCCACGCTGCCCCACTTCCCTCAACCATCCAACCCTAACCCTAAGTGTTGCCCTCAACCACTTAGGTTAGGGTTAGGGTAGCAAAGTCAACTCTCACCAGCAAGTAGAATCCGCTCTGATACCAATGTTATGACCCTGACCAATTTCGAGATACACATCCACTGGAAGGTACAATGCCATCCAATTGCAGAAAGAAATGAATGAACTTGAAAGATGAGAGAGGAGTCGAAGAAGAAGAAGAAGTAAGAAAGAAGAAGAAGAAGATGTACACCAGCAAAAACAATGACAAGAAATAATAATACAATGTTGAATGACTGGTCCAGAATCATGTCCGAGTCCCTTTTCTACTGCAGGTATCGCTGCTCCCTCCAGCGCTCCACCAGTGCGTCGCCAAACTTGCACACCGAAAAAGAGGCCGGGTCTTCCGCCCGGCCAGAAGATATAGCGGCCTGCTTGCCTCTTGGGCGGTGACTTCCAGCCCGCTGGCCTTCCCAAGCAACTGGTACCACCTCCTATTTTGGAGGGAACATCATTGCAGACTCGGATATTGCCCCTACAGGCCCTAGACTCAGACTGGTACCCGCTAGACCTAGCCTACACTACCGGACTCTAAAAATTCCACTTTTGTCTTCTTCTGCTCGGCCTCCGGTACCTGCATATTTACCCCCCTACCGGGTGCGGTACCGGCCTACCCGCTACTTGAGTGCTTTTTCCCCTGCTGCAACCCTTCAAAGCCACGGCCACAGGTAAGTACCGGCCCTGAGGCCCAACGAACGAACAAGTGCCCTGGCGGGCCACACACACGCACACTCGTACCAACCAGCACTCAGACAGGCACGGTCACACACGCAAGCCAACCAGCACTCAGACAGACATGCAGTCCAGCAAGCACACACACACATAGACTTAGCAGGCGGGGAACTCAGTAGGGCATTCAGTCTATGAGCAAAACTCAGAAATCAGCTGTGTGTTTCAATCCGTGTTTGGACGGGTTATCACA